TTTAAATAAACAGTATAAGCCCAAACCCGCTGCTTTAATCCTTCCCCTGGCAAGACGACAGACATCCAGGCCTTTGTGCGCCCTGCTTTTCTAAATCCAGAGTTTACTGTAAACAAACTGATGAAAACTTTTCCCACAGTGATGTGTCACTGCACAAAAAGGATCTTCCGCCAGCAGTCAGATGTAGGTGGGAGGACTGTAATAAAGAATTTGTGATAGATAAATAAATAGGCTGCACTGTGTTTTCACCAATGTTTGTGTGTGTGGTTTGGTGTGTTAGGTGGTGGATGTGCGGCTGGTGTCGGTGTTTGATGCCAGGGAGCTGGAGCTGGTTATTGCAGGCACCGCAGAGATCGACCTGGCAGACTGGAGGAACAACACAGAGTACAGAGGAGGTATGGAAAGCTGTGTGTGGGGGGGGCGCTTAGCCTAATGCATGCCCCGCCTCCAGTCCTGCAACATGTTCATTCACAAGTGTGCCGCAGCCACTGAACCTCTGGTCTGAAAAGTATTTCCTTATTCATTCATCTCAACTGGTCCAGTGATTTTAACACTCAGGGAGATGCAAGGAAATAAGATTACACACTACTAATAAAAAACATTTAAAAAATCCATCTTCACCCAGAAGAAAGTTCAAATAGGTGCATTTGTTTAAATGTCTCTAGCCCCTAAAATGAAGGTGGTTGTAATTCAGTTTTTCTTTCTACTGTTTGAGGGACACAAGCAGTCCTACCTATTTTGTTTCTGATACTGACACCTTGGCTTTGGGTGTCTACAGATTTCAAATACTGATCCAAGACCAGCTGTATTCATGAGAATCATTCTTGTATGTGTATGTAAGCATCTTGTCGCCTAACAAATACAAGACAGCCACCTTAAAAGGGTTTTATGTTGAAAGGTAACAACCATACAATATTAGAAAATATTAGAGAAAACACGAACGATCAGACCCCAGTGACAGTAGGAAGGAAAAACTCAATTTTAACAGGAAGAAACCTCCAAAGAACCAGGCTCAAGGAGGGGTCGATAGCTGAAGCCTCTGACTGGCCTCAGCGTCAACTGACTTTGAAGAGGAAGAAGTTTTTTTTGGTATTTATATGACTGCACCAGTGCCCAACTTAAGATAAGGAAGGATTAATTCGAACAGAAAACCATACAAAGCTACCCTAGAATAAAATTTTGAAGTTTAAAATGAACTGAACAAAGCCCCTTTAATTAATCTGAAAAGACTGAAGTCTTACCTGAAATTAATTAAGTTGTTTTTCACAATATATAATAATTCTCCTGTGAACAAGGGATTAAATTTGCAGGGCAACAGCTGTACTGGACTTCACTTAATGTTACTCTGCAATAAGCTTCAAACCTTTGGAGTTATTACAGCGTATGCGGTGTACAGTCAGGCTGCAGGTGGCGGTGTCCAAAGCCATCACATTAAAAGGCTTTTTAGGGTTCTGGCCAGCAAAGTTGAAAAGCCGCCAGCAGCTGAGAGACAGAACAAAACTCGAGCTGACAATCGGCTATGACTCAGTGTCAGGGAGCTTTTAATGGACGAATCGACTGAGACGCACCAAACCGCTGTGTCCATCAAACATTAAGCAGCAGAGCCAGCTCACAAACCTCAGGAACAGGGGGACGGACGCCCTTATTATTTGTTATTCGTCTGACTCATGCACCATCGCTGTCTTATCTCCCCACAGGTTACCATGACAACCACATAGTGATTCGCTGGTTCTGGGCGGCTGTGGAAAGATTCAACAACGAGCAGAGGCTGAGGCTGCTGCAGGTAGGGCACGAGGGGGAGCGCATGCACACAGGATGCCCCCGTGTGGACACCGCCTGCAATTACATTTTTTAATAGGTTTTCTAATTCTGCAGGAATGTCCCATTTATTTAAACAAGGTGTATTCAGTTTTCTGATTTATTTAACACTGAAACAAAGAACCTCAGAGTAAATGAAATAACCCAAACTTTTTATGGCCTGAACACTGACTACATTTCATCCTTTTCTTGACTCTCTTCTCTCCAGTTTGTGACGGGCACCTCCAGCATTCCCTATGAGGGCTTTGCCTCACTACGAGGAAGTAACGGACCTCGCCGATTCTGCGTGGAGAAGTGGGGGAAAATCACCTCCTTACCCAGGTAACCTCACCTTTTAGGGACTATACAAAAATGAATAATAGCAGAGACATTGTAGAGTGAATCTTTTCAAAATAAGCTGATCAAACAGGTATGAATAAGGGCTTTAACGGGCTGTTTAGGTTGTTAAGGCTTCATCTACGTCACCTCTGTTACTTTTTTTGTAAAATATGATGGGAGAGATACGACACAATTTTAGGGCGTAAACGCACTTAAGAATTTTAGTGGATTTATTCATGTGTTTCTCTATGGGGGACCAAAACCGACAATTTCAAACAAATATCTAGTAAACAAATAACTCAAAAGGAAACTTAACTTAAAAGAAAATTTAACTGCCATTAAATCACTGAAAATACATAAAATATAATTTTAAAATAAAATTTATATTTCTGTATTCATTTGCTTCTTTATTAATTTGATATAATAGGATATCAAATTAATTATCATACATATTTGATATAATATGTATATACCTTTTTAATGCCTTTTTATTTATTTTATTTTATTTTTATAACATTAATTAATTTATTTATTAATTTTTATTTGTTTATTTTTTCTATTATTTTCCCCTGGCTTTTGCATACATACTGACATCATTAGACTAAAAGGGGCTCATTACAAATGTTAAAAAACATAGATGCAAACATAAAAAAACAGAACCATCAATTTATGTCACATTTTATATAATAACAATTTACATAATTTTTTTTGGTTTGTTTCTAAGACAAATAAAATATTAATATTGTTAAAAATATATATTTTTTAAGTGAAGTGTTTTTTTTAAATAAACAATACTGTTTCTGATCAAAGATCATATTTCTGATTTTGACGTTCATTCACAGCGTTTTAATTCATTATTTAAATGTTAGTTTTTTTGTATGTTTTTTAAACTGTTTCTATTATTAATCCGTCTGCTTTGAATGCAAAGCACTTAAGGTCAACTCTATTGCTATTTCTAAATGTTCTCTATAAATGCAAGTGACTAATAAAGACGCAGCATACCTGCAGCTCTGTAGGGTATAAGTGCAGCATTTTTATTTTTGGGTGTATTATTTGACAGGAACAAAAGCAGAAGAAAAATCTAACAGATGACTCATCTCATCATCTGTTTCATAAGGTCTCGCTGTGTTTCCACAGGGCTCACACTTGCTTTAATCGTCTGGACCTCCCCCCCTACCCGTCCTTCTCCATGCTCTATGAGAAGCTGGTAACCGCTGTCGAGGAAACGAGCACGTTCGGCTTGGAGTAACCTCAAATTGGCCGACACCCAGGAGAGAGAACCATCTGAAAATCTGTGTTCCTCACTTAGAGGCATTAAAAATAAAACTAATATCCTCAAAAGGCAACTAAACCCCCCTCCCTTCCCCTCCCTGGATGACGCTGCTGTTTTTTCCAAATGGCTTTACATCACTCGGCACGCTGGCTTTGCTCTGATTCTCCGCCTCCGACAGCTTCAGGACGAAAGACGGAGAATCGGAGGACGGGTTGAAAAGCTGTACAGTACAATTTCTTGTTTTCATGGTAACCTTTGTTCACTGAGCCACATGTGTGCTTTATCTCTTTAGTTAATGGCCTTGGTTACTGGATTTCTAGCACCTCCTCCTCCTCCACCTCCTCAGAGACAGCTGCTCCAAAAACCCACTGAGTTCCTTTTCCCTTCTCTGGACCTCAAAACTGTGCCCGTCCCGCTCCGGGGCTGCAGTGATATGAACTATAAGACACACCAATCACCTTTGCACAAATACACACTTAAGCATTGTCTTTGTATTATGAGTGCAAACCAGTGTTTCCCCCGAGAGTCTTCATCGGCGCGGGATGAAGTGACATTTTAGTCTTTAAACCGAACGCTGGCTGCTTGTTCGAAGAGAGGGGACACACTGGTGTGCACAAATACACACTGAAAACACACCTGTTCTCACAGTTTAGAACCCCGAATGAGCTGGACACGGAGTCGCAGGTCATCGGCGGTGCTTGTGCGCAGCGTCAGTGACACATTGTGGTAATGACGGCAGGTTTGAGGTCAGGACTGTTACCTTCAGTTACTGCGACACCACAGCCCAAAAACGTAAAAAAAAAAAAACATGTGACGTGTGAACGACGGTGTCACACAGAAGCGCAAGGTTCCTGTCTTACAACACATTTCTCATGAGCAATAGAGGCACTTTCTGACGTAACACACAAAGTCCTCCCCAGCCAGTGAAAGTGATGAATGTACCAAACCAGTGACTGAATGTATGAACCTCGAGCAGGAAACAGAAGTTGAAAGGTTTCAACATAAGCGTGACTCGGCTTGTTTAAGCACTGACGATTTATAAATGCAATGATGGCTCATGAGATGCATCTATGGTGCTGCCAGCTTGCTCGGGGGATCAGGGCTCAAATGAAAGAAATGCCAAACTAGGTCACAGGTCGTAACATTTCCTGGGAGGAAAACATTTTACTGATAACAACCCTCAAAAATAACCCAATTCATTGATTAAACTGATCATTGGGCTCATTTATATGTTTATAATGGCTTTATTTGTGTTTATCATATCTATATTCTTTACTTTACCAAGGATGCATATTTTAAAGTGTTTTAACTAAAATATTTATCTTTTTAAATGTTTTTCATGCAGAAGGAAATCTCAGTCTGTTAGCCATGGTTCACTGCAAAACATCACAATGCAGTAATTAGGAGGAGAAAATTACAATCATATCAAATTTTATGCCGTTAAAAGAAACATATATTTCACTCATGTAACACTTTTCATGGTTAGACCAAAAAGATCCCCAAAATGATCAAATAGAAGTCACAGATGGAGTGCAGCTGTGAGGAGAAGCTCTCAGTTCAACTCAGACTTTGACAGGACAGTGGAAGGTCAAAATAATGGCATATACCCATCACTTTTTACATTTTACACTTAACTAATCATCACAAAAAGCAGATCCACAATTTTAAACGTCATGTATAGCAATTATTACAGTTACTGCTAAAGTAAAAGAAGGATTTGGGAATAAAAATCCACATTTTAAGTATCAAAAATAAATTTCTGGTATTTTTAGCAAACTAAACTGCTTGAAAATTGTTTAAATTAATTGCATTATGGTGCTTTTAAGTTGCATATAAACCTTTGCTTTCATAGATGTGCATCATCTGAGGTTCAACTCCCCCTGAGCAACGCGGTGGCCGCTTTGATGCATCGCTCTAGTGAATGGCTATTAGATGTACCAGGAAGCATTGGTGGGATTATTTTAGTGCCTCTTGGGCGTGAAGTTTTATTTCTTTGCAAACATGTGACCAGATCCAAGCGTCTCACTGTAGGAGCTGCAGTTTTTAAAGCAAAATATCAGATATCAACACCAGAGGGCAGCAAAGTCCCACTCAACTCAAACAACCAGTGGTCTGGTCCTCTCTGAGTGGCCTCCTGACCAGGGTAGATGATGATGATGATGATGATGATGGCCTTGTACTTTAGAACTTGTTGCATACAGTCCATGCCAGACAGTAGTTTTGTCTCTGAAGCATGTGATCGAACATTGAGTGCACTCACACACACAAACTCATTTTCTACAGGGTGCATGCACGATTACACCTACTGTACAGAGTCCTGTTGGAGTTAGACCACAGGGGCTGGAATAGTGGTAGAGATCCCCACCTGCGATGCGACATGTGTGGGCAGACTTTTGTATCTCAGCCCCGCCTCCCTACCCACACCTCTCGCCCACCCCCGCCCTAATAATGCATGCAGGATCTTCCTGGTCAGCTCCGTGAGCTGGACCTGGTAGAAACTCCTAGGTGGCGTTGTGTTATAGCTCGATATTGCATGCTGAAATAGTGCAACACACTGTCCTTACTAGCTTTTTTTGCATGAGGATACTGCTATACATTCAGACAAAGGGGTGAGGGAGCTGGTTAAATTGTGCCGCTCCAGTTGTGGCGCTCCACCTGAGGCGTGCGCCCTTGTGCTCACCTGGCACTGTTGTACCTTTAGCTCGTGGGAACAAGGCGGAGGATGATGGTGTTTGTTAGCTCTCTCCCTGACAGTGGAACAGCGAGTATTTCGGCAGCATGCTTCGAAAACTTCACATGTGCGTGTCTGCCTGTCTCAGTCACGGGCTGATGGTCATGGTTCATTGCTGAACAGGTAATGGATCAATAGGGCTGCTTTTGATTTTGTGAGAGCACATGTATGTGTACCATGTGTGCAGTCCTGTTTGTCTCTTTGTATATAAATGTATATGTATGTCTGTCCTGTTGTGTGTTTAAATATATATATTTTGCACCGGATGTACCAAAGGTTTGGGGCTTGCAAAGTCAACCATTAGGCCTGCTCTCTATTTCAGTCGAACAACCACACATTCCCCCCTCCTCCCCACCGCCGTTTCTGGCTCACAGAGCATCACCTCATGTTTGCTTGAGGAGCAGATTTGTGGCATGGGCAGCGACGCTTAACGTTAGGATATTCACCCAGTTGGGTCAGTTTCAGTTCACCATCACTTTGAGGCTTTTCAGGTGCAGATGAAGACTGCTGCACCGCTCGTCTTTCTGTGTACATCTGACAGGACCCGGCTCCAGTTTTCAGAATTCCACTCTATGCAAAGCTCCTGTATGTGTGTGTGTGTCCATTTCACTCCAATGATTGTAATAAAAGAACAAATGGAAAATTTTTATGAATGATTCACGATCTTACTTATCTTTTACTAAAGTTATCTAATATACAG